TAAGCACAAGGTCATCAATTTGATGTCCATTGCAAAAAAGAAAGAAAAAAAAAAAGTGAACACAAGCATGAATGAATAATAAATAAATAAACAAATCACTAAATAGGGCCAGGGATATGGCGCAGCCGCATAAGGGCTTACATGGCAAATGCAAGGTCCTGAGTTTTAATTCCCAGTACCAAAACATCCACCCATCCATCCATCCATCCATCCACCCATGCATACATACATACATACATACATACATACATACATACATACACAGGTAAATAGATAAAGGTAGGCCGGCAAACCAGGGCCAGACAGAGGGACACGGCCCAAGAGCTGAGATACATACATCATACCGCCCAAACAACAGATAGGTGGTGCATGCCCATGCACCCGACGGGCGGGCAGGAGAGATGGAAGGACCGACAGCCAGGAATCCACGGAGGTTCTGGCTAGCCCATGTGACCAGATCCCAAAGTGAAAGGCAGGGATGTGTCTCCCCACCAGGAGGCCGGCTACCGTGGTCCGACCTAGATCCCCAATCTCCCACACCAGTGTGTGGCGAAGGCCGGAATAAATGAGACGGAGTCGTATGATTTTAAGGCTCCAGGGGGGTAAAATCCCTCTCACAGAGTTCTCGACTCTGTGGCTACAATGAGGGCCAAGACAAAGAGAGAGCTTCGGCCTGCAGATTTAGCTCAGTGGTGTAAGCACCTGTCTGGCAAGCCTAAATTCAATCCCGAGTACCACAACACACACACACACACACACACACACACACACACACACACAAAAAGACAAAGTGCTTCTCCGGGCCACCCCTACCTATAGGGGTGCAAACAAAGAGTGGGGATACTGAGGAAAGTCCCCCCACCCCCACCCAGGGGAAGGGCAGTGAGCAGGACCTTGGGAGTCACTTCAAAGAATTCTCCAAGTAGCCAGTTATGCCAGTTTAGGAGAGCCGGTTCATCTCCAGGACGACGGTAGGAGTGAGACTGCATGCACTAGAGGCCGACAGCCACAGTCTCTATGTACTTCATGGGTGTCCGAGCCAGGCAGGTGTCCTCAACTGTGGACTCATCTTGCCTTTTGAGGCATCTCTGGCATCTCAGGCCACTGCAGGCCTCAGCCAGGACCCGTGGAGTTTCAGAGAGGTTCACTCAATAGAAATCAGCTCCCATCGCCAGGCAAGAGGCCTACCTAGCCCCAGGAAAGACTCAACAGATAAAACACAGAAAGCCAATCAGTTAGTTCATTTTCAATCCTGCTCAGAGCCGCTTCCTACTGGTCTCCAACAGCCCATCAGTCAGATCACATCAGAGAGGGATCCAAACTCACTGGGACCATCCGGGCCAGTGACTAGGCGGGTGGGCTGGCTCCCACGGGAAACAGGAATGGGGAACATGAGAAGGGACACACTGCAGGGACAGGAGCAGCAGGAGACCTGGGGCGGCAGGAAGGTGCAGGGTCAGAATGGGAGCACCATCTTGGGTTTTCGCAAAGAAGCAACAGGTCTTCAACCGCCTCCCCAAGGACAGCCAGCCATCTCACCGGACATCTGCAGGAGGGAAGCCCTCCCCCAACCCCCACCCCACCCCGCCATGCCTTCCATCCATCCATCCATCCATCCACCCACCCACCCAGCCACATGTCATCCCCGGGCACACAGAACACCTCCACTCCCCTCGGCCGACCCTCCAGTCACAGCGTGTCCCTCCCTCGGCAGCGTCTGCATTCAGTGGGTCTGGCCGCAACTACCACCCTCCCCACTCCACAAATTCCTTGGGTGTTTTGTACAGTTTTCTGTGTTTTATTTTATTTTTTATTTTTTATTTTTTTGTCTTTTTCGGTACCAGGGATCGAACTCACGACCGCCTGCTCGCAAGGCAGGCGCTTATGCCCCCGAGCTAAATCCCCAGCCCCAGTTTTCTGTGTTTTAGTTTCAAAACAGGACTAGGGGCTGGGGGTTTAGCTCAGCGGCATAAGCACCTGCCTTGCAAGCAGGCGGTCGTGAGTTCGATCCCCGGTACCGATTAAAATGAAAAAGACAAAAAAAAAAAAAAAAAAAACAGGACTGCCAGAGGTGGGGGCACAGTAGCTGCACACCCACAATGTGTGTCCTGTGACAGCCCCCTTGAACTAAGGCCATAGGCTACTGTTTCAAGAGTGCCAAAAACAGTCTGTACTCTTGCAATCAGACACCTGTCTTTCTGCTGTTTTCCAGCTGTTTCCCAGATCCACCTTTTTGAGGGTCCTTGCAGTCCCCAGCAACCTCCTGTGCCTGCAATGAACATTTTTCCTTATGTCTTTGTCTTTCAATTGCATCAAAAAAACCTAACAGAAGAGTCCTCATGAATAGCATGACTTCTGCCCAGGCACTAACCCCCAGTCAATCCTCAATCTGGGTCCGCCTAGTGTTCTGGTGTTGTCATCCACTCACACTGGTCCCAAAGATGTGCCCTGCATACATTTTTTTCTGAATTATAGCCCTCACCAGAGGTTCCCTTACATCCTTGGGGACAGAAGTCCCTGTGAACTCTTGTGCTGGAGTCTTTCTGTTGAAGTCGCAAAGTGAGAAGAGCCCTGAGCTCTGGGCCTGTCACATTCAGTTCAGGTCTGGTTACCTGACCTTGAAAGCCTGTCACTTATACTACTGACCTGGCTCCTCTTCTAATATGTGGAAGGGGAACTCAGTACAAACTTAAACACATGCTCACCTGGCCTTGGGTACTACCAGGCATGAGGCACTCACAGCTGCTGTCCCAGGCACCACTGTTGCCCAGATATCCTCATATCCAGGATGCATGCAGGATGTCTTACTTCCACAAAGGACCCTTCAGACTGCTAGTGGAACAAAGATCTGTTCTGGAGGTGGAAGGAAACAGGCTGTGATCCCAGCCCCACTGCTCACCCATTCACCTGGCTCCTAGAGCAACATTCAGCAACCTGCTCTGTGATTAGTGGTCAGAAAAGGGTGGCCTTGCCTACCCCTAAGGAACTGTCTGCCCTCCCCACTCACAACGGTGGAGCAGCAAGTGCTAACAATTGCATTCCTCCAGGCCACAGTACGCAGTTAGGAAAAAGGTGGCTTCATGATGATTGAGTGGCTCTGTCAATCTGAGATGCAATACCTAATTAAACTGCCTCAGCATAGCTCTTGGTGTGGAAGACCTGTCCCAGGGCTGATTACGGTGCAATAGGGAAATGAGGAAGGAAGGCTGATTCTGTTTGCTTTGGAGCTGCTCCAGTCTTCTTTCACACTGGAGCCTTCTCCTGGCTGGTCACACAGACTCTTCAGACTCCAGCACCCACCCTTCAGCTGTGGAGTGAGCTGTCTGTTCACCCTCATCACAGACCCTTACGCATACTGACGTGGACTCATGTGGGACACTACACTGCACTCTAGGCGGTGGCCTGCATCTTCCCAGAGGGAACTTTCATATTTTCACACTAGACTGTGGGCAGCCACTGTAAATCAATCTTGAAAAGTGTTACACATGTGTATAGCATGTACTGAATCTGCTGATAGATACCACGCTCAAGAACAAAGCTGGAGGCACCATGATTCCAAAGCCTGAGCACGGGGCATCAGACTGTATGGCAAACACAGACATGAGCAGTCAAAGTGAAACCAAGTTTACCAGGAACCAGGAAGGAACTGAAAAAAGAAAAAAACCAGATTGCACCATACAGCAGAAGAAATGGAAAACATTACAGAAGAAACAGGGAACCCTCTGCAAATGATGTGGCTTCAAGCAGCTGGCCAGCTGCCATCCAGCAGATGAGGTAAAACTAAAATCTTTGCACTCACATAGAAATGAAGGAGGTAAACTCACAAGAGTATCAAAATCCAAAGGACAGTAACTACTTTGAAAAATTATGTTCCCAAACATTGGCCAATTTTTAAGAAATGGACATATTCTCAGACAGATATAAATTACCAAACATGACTCAGGAAGACAGAAATATGCTTAACCCAAGAACAAGCAATGAAATTGACACTACAACAAAGAATCCATCAACCAAAAAAAGACTTGGACCAGATGAATTCACGGCTGAATTCTACAGTCTTTAAGGATGCTCCTTCACCAATGATTCTCATGCTCTAAAACACACTGAAATGGATAAGAGCGCTCCCAAGTTCAGGCACAGAAGTATCATCCAGATTCCCAAACTGGACAAAGACCAAACCAAAAATACAACTGCACCCCATCTTCATGGACATCCATGCAAAACTAGGAGCCAGCGTTTGATGGTGCATGCTTGTACTCCTAGCCTGTAATCCGAGGGAAGCTGGTGCAGCAGCATCACTGCCAATTCAAGGCCAGCACAGGCTACTAGTAAGCTGAAGGTCAGTCTGAACTGTACAGCAAGACCCTGTCTGAAAACAAGAAACAAAAGAACACAAAACAAAAACCTAAACCAAGCAAACAAAAAGTTAAACAGGATATTAAAAAACAGAATGCAGCTCATCATCAAAAAGATCATATACTGTCCACCAGGATCGATAACCCCAGAGCTCAGGAGGCTGAGGCAGGAGGACTGCGGGAAGCGCAAGGCCAGCCTCGGCTAGTAGGGGGTTTAACACCAGCCCCAACTACATATCAAGACCCTGTCTCAAAATAATTAACAAAAAAAGAAATGAGACAAAACAACAAAAACGATAAAGATCACACATCATGATCAAGAAGATATCATCTCAGAGATGCAAGGATGATTCAAAATACATAAACCGATAAATGCAATGTATAGAGAGATCACACGGAATCCATTTTGTCCCAGACACATCCAGTTCACAATGTTATGGGAAAAAGTACAGGCCTTGAAACATCGTCCCCACCCCAAGATAAAAACACAAGGTCCTGTAAGGTCAAGAAGCAAAGAAGTTATATAAGCTAAGCATGGGCAATTTGAGTTTCTTGGTTATTTATCTCAATAAAAGCTATTTGTTTAGGCTGGCCGGGTGGCAGCCATTTTGCTGACCCTTAGTGTGTGTGACCCTTTATTTTCCCTTTGGTTGAAGAACCCCAACATCTGGTGCATGGACAGCGGAGACCTCTGCTGCGGAGGGTGACTTGCCTTCACTGTGTTCCTGGGGTAGGACACAGTAGCCAACCCATGCACTTCATTTTCTTTGGGAAATCCCTGGTGAGTCATGGGGAATCCCCTGTCTGAGGCGCAGCAGAAACACAGGGCAGGGATGCTTTTTCTCCTTAACAAGGCAGGCCATGGGCTCCTGGGCATAATTTAGTACAACCTTTGTGAGAAACTCATGGTCATTGTCTGGGGTATCTTGAGGGAGGAATGCTCATACTGGAGAATAGGGAAAAGATGGCCAAACTGCTGCTTGCGGCGCCTCGAGCCCCAACCTCTGTCCTGCACACCTGGCAGCTCTGCGGGGCGCTGCTGCCACCTTTGGCCAGTGAGCAGATGGACACCACGTGGCAGCCTTCCAGGTGTTCCCGGTGCTGCTTCAGCTGTCTCCACTTTACCTGGGTAGGACCCTATTTTCCTTTGACCACGCAGCAGTTAGCTCCTCTGTTGGTGCTTTAAGGGGCAACCGAGATCCTGCTGATGTGATCTCTGACTCTCCCCTTTGGAGCACTGCTCACACAATCACCACGTTATGGTGGATCGGGTCCCACAGGACTGCCCTCTCCTGACTCCTTTTATATTCATTCCCTCTGCCTGCAGGGGCTCTTGTTGCCGTCCAGAACAAGGTATTTATTGTTGAATGGTTACATTTACCCTTCTTGCTTGGTAGTACTGTATTTCCTATTATCAATGCTATTTCTTCTCTTATCTCTTGAGGACTTACTGGTGCACTTGCACTCCTTGGAACTGATCTCACTGATACTGTTTTCTCACTTACCAAGGCTGACTTCTCCTTTCTGCTATCCTCTACTGTTTCTCTTTAGGTCTCTTTGGCTATGTTAGTTCCATTTTTTCAAAACACCCCCAGACCCAGGCTGGATCTCCTGCTGATCTGGGGAGGAGGGGATGCTTCTGTGTTACCCTGAACAGACCATGTGTGGATTCCTGCTTATTGCATTCATCCTGCATGGATTGAGTTGGCACCATCGGTGCACAACCCGACTCCACAGTTTCGCCTCTCCCTAAATCAAACCCAGCTGCCTTGGAAGTGAGTGACCCAGGATGACAACTGCTCAGCCAGTGACCTGATAGAAAGGTGCTGATCCAGTCTGCATAAGACTTGCTCCATGTATCTGAAGAGGAATGCACTGCTAAAAAGCTTCATGTGGTAATATTTACCAAACTAAGAATTAACTCTTTAATGCTTGTTTGTATTCTATTGCTATGACTTTTACAATCCACCATGGGGACTTTAGAGTCTCGCAACCTCCAAGAAAGACTGGAATACAATATTTGGGAGATACAATATTGGCAAAAATATCTAATGTCTCTCATTTGTGTCTTGTTGAAAACACAGAAATGAAATACCTCCTCAGGTCCTGTCTGGTTCCAGGATGCAAGGACCCTGCCTCTATAAGTAATTAAACCATTTTTTCCACAATTCTAAGCAAAATTGTCACATATGCTGACTTTCCAAATTGGGCCCCTCCCACCCTTGAAAACCCTGATAATGCTGTTAAAGTGTTCCCTCCATATGTAGCAACTTCAAATGCCTCATGTGCTTCTACTGAAAATTGTACTGCTTAATGTCTTTGCCTTCCCAGTAATACTTGGAATTGTTCAGTTATGAGCCAGTATTTAGGGACATGGACATGGCCCTCTCCCTGCTGGATGGTTTTTCTCATGTGAAGAGTAGACCTTCAATTACATCCCTGCTAACTTATCTCAGAACACAGATGCTGCCTTAGTCACCTTACTGTATTGTTGCCTTCTCCAGAATGTACAGTCTCGCACCAAGCGGTCTACAACTAGTCTCACTGACCTATGCGGGGACTTTTCTATCAGCCTGTTAAACAAAGCAGAAATTTATGCTTTAGGTATTTCACTGGTTGGTGTGCCTGCCCTGGCAGCCAGGGCCAATTGCAATGTTAATGCACTAGCTTGTCTCATGGCAAAAACAACTAAAATATACTTTTATAGTTTTGGCATTATTAAACAAAGAACAAAGTGAGCAGTGACAAGTGATTTTAGATAATCGTGCTGCAACTGATTATTCTATTGCATCCTCACGGATGTAATGAAATTGCTCGTGTGCTGTTTTAATTTGTCTGATGAAAGTAAATCCATCAATGGCAAACTTCATGATTTACAAGAACTTACCAGACAGATATACGCCTCCCAAGTGCTCAATGCAAAATTATGGAATTTCCTTACAGGATGGTTACCAGATATCAACCAGCTAAAATAAATTTTTTTGTTTTACTGTCCTTACCTGCTTATCTGGTAAGGGATGCAAAATGTTGACACCTAAAATGCCAGCTTCTAAAATGGTAACAAAGTCTAAACTAAAAAAAGAAGGGGGAGATGTAGAGAGGCCACATTGATTCTATTTTGTTCTGGACACACCCAGTTGACAATATTATGGGAAAAAGTTGAGACCTTGAAACATAACCCCCAACCCAAGGTAAAAACATGAGATCCTGTAAGGCCAAGAAGTTAACAAGTTGTATAATCTAAGCATGAGCAATTTCAGTTTCTTTGTTCTTTATCTCAATAAAAGCTACTTGCTTAGGCTGCAGCCATTTTGCTGTGCCTTAGTGTGTGCGTCCCCTTATTTTCCCTTTGCTTGCAGGACCCCACCAGTAATAAAGTCAAAAACCATAATCATGTCAACACATGCAGGAAGGACTTTCAACAATGTGCAATATCCCTTCGTGATAAACAATCCGAAGAAAATAGGTATAATACAAGGCCCTTAGTTCAATATGATAAAAGCAACTTATGACAGATCAACAGGAAGCACCATACTGGATGGTCAAAAAATGAAAGCTTTCACTGTAAAACTGAAAAGGAAATCCAGACCTCACTGGAAACATTCTGTGCAATACAGCTGCAGCCACTCTGTTCTCTGCCACTGACCTCAACTAAATCATGACTTATCATCAAATTAAAACTTCTGTGAATGTGCCACAAAAATTTTGCTACATACATGAATGCTCAACTCACGATACCCACTGTACCATAACCTTCAGCAAAAACTATTTGCTTTTGTAACTTCTGATTGCCACCCTACAAATAAAACTAACTATCCTTAGTCAATATCTTGGACTTTGCAGATTACTCTTCTGGGGTCTGCTAGGGTCAGTACAATTTCTTTCTCCTGACCTCTGGCTACTACCTGACACTCTAAATAGAAAATCCACCTGTACTGGTTACCTTTTTGTTATTGCTGGGACAAAATATCTAACACCCAAAATGAACGAAGGAAAGGTTTATTTAGCTCACTGTTTCTGCAGGTTTCTGAAAGGCTTTTCTCATGTGTGAGCTAACGTGGTGCTGGACAGTGCCACCCTGTGTTTCAGAGTGCTATAAGTTTTAGACCTAAAAGTTAAACATCCTACTTTTCATGTATGCCAACCCTCCTCCAGACAGCTGTCAGTACATCACTCTACCTGCCCCTTCAATTCCACCCGTCAATTCTGAATAAAGCCCGCAGTTTTTTTCTTAAAAACTTCCAGAGGGTGCTTGCATCTTTGGCAGCCCTTCTGTGCCCACATTAAAGATCTCCTTTCTTTCCTTCTATTTTTTCTGTTTTTGTCTCTCATACGTTAGAAGACCAAATAATTTCAGTCCATAATCAGCTGGCTCCAAGGTAGGGTGGCACAGCACCAGGGCAAAAGATTTACGCAGCAGCTGGCAAAAGCAGCCAGAGCAAAACAGTATAGAGCAGGCCTCTTCTGCTCCCTTATACTGTATGCAAGCCACCCCTACCCACCCCCCAGGGCAGATACACCACACACAAAATCTGTGCTTCCTCCTGTTACACAGAACAAGGTATTTACAAAGGGTCTTGACTGCCTGTTAAGAAAACTTTTAAGCTTACATTGACACAATGTATCAACCGTAACAGCACCCAAAATCTCCCGCAGAACCAACTTCAGCAACACAGCAAGATACAAGAGTGACACACAAAAATCTTTACCATTTGTAAACACCAGTAACAAACTGAGTAAAAAGGAAATTATGAAAACAACACTCTATGGATTAACTGGACCAAGGAAAATAAAAAGACCTCTAAAAACTACAGCACTCTGAAAAGAGATTGAAGAAGACATCAGGAAATGGAAAGATCCTTTTTTCTTGAATAGAAAGATGCAGCATTATCAAAACTGGCCAAGGGCCAAGGATTTAGCTCAGCAGCTCAAGCACTTGCCTGGTAACTGCAAGGTTGTGAGTTCAATCCCCAGTACCAAAAAAAAAAAAAAAAAAAAAAACAAACCCAAAACAACAAAAGACCTGGCCATTTTCCTCACAAAACAGTTATACAGATTCAATGCAGTCCCAACTAAAACACCAACAGCATACATTATTTATTGTTTGAGACAGGTTCTTGTTGTACTCTAAGAAAGTAGCTTCATCATTTTGTGTATTATAGCAAACCTGTACCGTGGCTTACTAAATGTTTTTTTTTTCTATCCTTTTTCCCCAACTGATATGTTCAGCGACCCAATTGAAATGTTGAGCAATACTCTCCTCTGTAAAGAACTGCAAGAATTTCACTTAATTGAGATGTTAACCAGAGCGGCCCTCTACAAACAAGAAGAGTGGTGCTAAAACAAGCTAACAAGGGTTGTTAATCATGGTTAGGCGCCTCTATTCTTCGCTAAAGAGCTAAAGAAGACTAGAAGGCCCACTAATTTACACATTGTTTGAAATAACTTGTTTATATGCAGGGAGATTTGTGTATAAGTTTAACCTTTTTACCTAACCTTAGTTACTTTTCCCACAAGATAGATACTCGCCGTTTTCCTGTTCTGTAGCGCGCCTTATTGCCTCCCCCCACCCACCTATCTGGGCCATAAAGAATTTGGGTTTCTTGTGACCTCTCCCCGACCCGGTGATGATCTGTCATAAAATGAGCCTGCCCCAATTTTAAGAACTGCTTAGCTTAAAAGAAATTACCGGGTAACACTATGGCCCAAACCCCGATCGGTGCTTTCCTTTTGTTCTGTATGTATCAAATGAGTTAGATATCAGATCTTTGTAAAACTTAAGTTCCAGCGTCTCATAACTCGTGACCCCTTCGCACTCACTAGCGAAGACAAGCTGTCCTGAGATAATTAACTCTCCACTTTCTTCTCCAAATATTGCTGCAGACGTGCCACTCTGAGATAATGTCAGTCTGCAGGATGGGAGTAATTTAAGGAATACCAGGAACTCCCGAGATTGTCAGAGCTAAGTGGACAGCAATACAGTTTCCAGATGCAGGTCAACAGGTTTAATGGCCTCGCAGGTTTCCCCCCACTTTCCCTTACTTTTAAAAACCCCTTTCCCCAGTCTTGGGCGCGCAGTCTTTGGGTCGATCCAGGAGAGACTGTGCCGCCCGGACTGGCTCAATAAAGCCTTTGCTACTTAAATTTTTGGACTCTTGTTTCCTTGGATTTTATACCGGGGCCCGAGTTATAACAGTTCTCACTATGCATTTCAGGCTGGCCTTGAGCTCACTTCATAGCTCAGAATGGTCTTGAACTAGCAATAATAGTCCGGCCTCAGCCTCCCAAGTGCTGGGATTACAAACATGTGCCAACATCCTGAATTTTCTACAGCGGACTTTACAGAACTTGAGCAAATGATCCTAAAATGTATATAAAGACAGAAGAGACACAGAATAGCAAATGAAATTTTAGGCAACAAAAGCAAAACAAGAGAAGGCACAGTTAATTCCTAATCTCAGTTATACCACAAAACAATAGTGATAAAAATAGCACATTACTGGAAGAAAAACAGATGTATGCATCAATGGATCAGAATACAGGATATAGAATCTTTCCCAGACACATTCATTCATTTTGCTTTGTTTTGTTTTTCATTTGGTGGAGAGAGTGTCTCTCCAAGCAGTTCAGACTGGTCTTTAACTTCCTATGTAGTACAGGCTGGCCTTGAACTCAAGCAATCTTCCTGCTTCAGTCTCCTGCGTGTTCTCACTAGAGATATGCACTATCATGTCCACGCAGTTACGTGATCTTAGACAAAGGAGCCGGAAGCATCGGCTGCAGAAAAGACAGCCCATTGAACAACTGGTGCTGGTAAAACTGGTTATGTGTTTGCAAGGATGGAAACTGGACATAAAGTAAAATCAAAGTTGATCAACATTAAAACAGAAACATTAGATGTTCTGAAGATAAAACAGACAAAACACTTGAAGATACCAGTATAGCATAATATTTTATTTTCTATTCTTTTTCTTTCTTTTTTTGTACCAGGGATTGAACTCATGATATCTCATACCTGACAGGCAGGTGCTGTGCCACTGAGCTACATCCCCAGCCCCAAAAAACATTTTCTAATGAGAACCTTAGCCACAGAATAGTAATTTTTGCCAGGTAGTCCTCAGACAGAGGACAAATTTCTAATAATACGCAAAGACTCAAAAATTAAGACACCTGAAATTAAAGACTGTCAAAAATAAGCAAGAGAAATGAACAGACACTTCACAGAGGAAGACATACCAATGATCAACAAGTCTATGAAAAAAATGTTCAAAATCTCTGACCATTACAGAAATGTAATGTATAACCCTGATACGATTCCGTGTTGAGGCTAGACCTCCTTATTTTTCTCTTACTGAGAAGCTTTTTTTTCTTTCAGTAAATTCTTTATTAAAAAAAGGGAAAAGAAACAAAATTTACATGTTTCTTTGTAAAGAATGGCAAACATTAAGAAATGAGAACAGTATCAAATTCTGGATGAGGCTGTCACAAAAAAAGAATCCTTCTTTGTTGGTGGGAATGTAAATTAGTACCAGCATTATGGCATAACTATGGGGATTTCTCAAAGAACTAGCATTAGAAATACTGTATGACCCAGTCTTCCCCTTGAAGTATCTTCCTTGTCACAGTTGATACACTGTATCAACTTGAGAATTGAGAAGCTTAACTAAATAACCCAACAGGACAAGCCCAACAGCTCTGGGATGCTGTTCATTGTGTCAACATAAGAAGTTCAGAGGGTCAATCAAATGACTCAGCAGGGGGCCAGGTGCCCACTTTGTAAACACCCTCATCCTGAACAAGGGGAAGGCAGGGAGATGCTGTGAGAGCTGCACCCACCAAAGGGCCGGTAGCCTGCTCACAACATAAGGGAGGAAAAGAGGCTTGTACCCCATGCTCTGTGCTCTTGTTGCTTTGTGTTCTACCACCTTGAAATGTTGCCTCTGTGCCATGCCAACCTGCTTTGCATCCATCTGATTACAGACTGAAACCTCCACAAACTGAACTATATAAAACATTCATTCCTTTAACTCAGGGTTTCCGGTATCTCATGTCCAGTGAGAGAGATGTAAAACATTCCCCAAAGATCTTGATACTACAGTTACTCATGCATACCAATCTTTATAGCAGCATAACCAGTAATAGCTAAATCCTGAAGGCAGCCTATATACCCCCCAGACAATTTGATAAAGAAAATATGGTATCTATATGTACTGCAGTACTTCTTAGCTATAAAGAATACAAACATGGGATATTTGCATGAAAATAAATGTACCTGGAAAATACAAAGTTGAGTGAAATAAACCAGAGCAACAAGGTAAATACCACATGGTATTTCACATTAGAGTGAAGCAAAGTAGAAAGAGAATAATAAAGGATAGATAGAAAGGGACAAAGGGATGGATCTCTCACAATAGAAAAGTGGTCCAAGAGGGCAAGGACTGAAGAGGGGGAAGGGGAAGGAAAAACACAGGCTGCATACAGAAGCTAATGAGCTCAGTGAACGCAAACACCATCTGCCATAGCAGGAACTGCCACTGATGCCTGCCAAGGCTCCAGACAGGAAGGGTGCTGACCTGAGCCTCTCCACCATGTCTGACCTCCAAGCCCCAGGCCTGCAGCTAGGAGCCTGCACAGGCGGGGCTGGGGCACCATCTGCAGAGAAGCCCATGGACTCTGTAGTTTACTGGAAGGCGCATCCAGCTCTGAGGCCACGTTTTACTCAATGATTACTTAGGTGAGACTTAAATCCAAGAGCCTGCAAAAGCTTAGTACACATTCTTCCAATCTCACAAGGGCCCTGGCCCGGCCCAGCATCAGCCAGGAAAGGGAAAGGGCTTGGTTGAGGCCCCAGCCCCTGACAAGAATCCGAAGGCTGTGTTCCCACCCCTCCCAATGCCAGAGGGGTGGCCACAGGCCCCAGTTTCCTACTCTCCTGAGCTTCATTCATTCTGTGTCTCTAGACATGAGGTGACAATGGCTCCCTGTGACCTGTTGGGGAGCTCAGTGCTCCTCCCTTGACTTCCTGTTCCTCTCTCCTTTGAAAGCCACTCAATAGTTTCAGCAGTACAATTCAATTCAAAGCACTTTTACGCTTTAGTAATTAAGAAAAATGCCCGAGAAAGGGCTCTGGCCAGCCTCACCCCACACACACAGCAGACTCTGCAGTGAGCACCTGAGGCCAGGATCCTGTGTGCAACCAGGTCATTCCCTGGAACCTAAGGCCACCTGACAGACTTCAACAGCTGTGCATGTTCACTTATCATCACAAGAGTTTTCATCTACAATTGCCAGATCCCATTTTTTCTCCAGATAAAATCCAATGCATGCTGAAACAGCTCCTACCTGCCTCTTGGCCTCTGTTTCCAGCTGTTGATCAAGTCTCCAATTCAACTGAGGCACAGCAGTGCACACATTGCATGCAGTCCCAGCATTTCGGGGGCAGAGGCAGGAGGATCACAGGCTCCAGGTCAGCCTGTGCCACAAGGCAAGATCCTGTGGGGGAAAAAGAAAAGGTCTGAGTACCTTGAGGGGAAAATCCCTTACGGCTGGTCATTGGGCATCGGCATGTAACTCTCACCCATTCTTGTGAAGCTTTATGATCTCAGAATTCACTCCTGTTTATCACACTTTTATTAAGTTGCCTGACTCACAAGTAATCTCACTTGTAAAAATACCACCAGCAGCACCAAAAAATGAGGGGCTACGAGACCTGTCTCTGCTGACACATGTAAGCCCAGAGAGGGTCGAAGCCCCAGTGAGCAAAGCCCACAGCTACTGGAATCAGCAAAAGTGATGTGGGCTGAACTGTGTAAGTGACTCCTCTCACATGGCGGACTGGAGCTGGAGAAGTAGCCAGTGCGGTGGATGCCCAACTGAAGGGTTTTCCCTGCAGCTATTTTAGGGAGGTTCCCTGTGTAAGACTGAGGTACCCAACACCTATTACTTCACAGTGACTGGGTGGGAGACAGCCGTGAGCAATGGACACATCCTTGCTCCCTAGGTCTGGGCTCAGGCCCAGAATGACACAGACACCCTGTCCTATCTGCTGAGAAGCCAAGTCAGTCCACTGTGGCTTCTGGAGGGCATTTGGTCTAAGTGTTGGCATGAAGCCTGGGGGTTTCCTTGAACCTGCACTCTGCTGCCCAAATCCAGCAGAACAGTGCTGTTTGCTTTCTTCCTGTCCCTATGTGACCAAGAAGTCATCTCAGCTTGGATGACTGTCACAGACCAGGGCACTCACAGAAAGGCTTGTGGAGTTGGGTGGGGAGCACATCACAAGCCCCGGAAGCTTAGGGCTAGGAAAGGCAAGCAGTGACTCAGGGAGTCAGTACAGAAACTGGAAAAGGCTGCAGTGCACACAGGCTCAAGGTGGATGCCAGGGACCAATGAGGAAAGGGAAGGGGGGCTCGGCGTTCACTCACAGAAATGCTTACACCCACTGCTGCAGGCAGTGAAAACCAAGCAGTCATCAGACACATGCCATGCATGTTCACTTCTGCATCACAAGCATTCTTCCTGTCAGGAAGTCCCTGACAGGGAACATTATTCCTTTTTTGAAAGTTTTAGGTTTGCTCTTTTTAGTTTTTTTATTGAGGTTTTTCAAACTATTTCTCTGTTCACTGCTTTCTGTTACTTTTATCTAACTTTATTATTTTTCTTTGACTTATTAGGGTCCTTTACCTTTTTCTCACTTGCCTTTCTCCCTCATGTTCCTTTCCACTATTTTTCTTTTCCTTTCTTTTTTTTTTTTGTCTTTTTCGTTTTTATCGGTACCAGGGATCGAACTCACAACTGCCTGCTTGCAAGGCAGGCGCTTATGCCGCTGAGCTAAATCCCCAGCCCCTATTTCCACTATTTTTCAAATTTCACTTTTTTCACTTTGCTGCTCCCCACTGCTTCTACCTGTACTATTATTAATATTTACTACTCTTTAGATATTTAGTTAACTATGCTGTTAAGGCTGAATTCTTTTCTATTGCTAATGGTGGCATGATGTTGTCTTCAATACATATTTATTATATATCACTATTTGGATCATCTTCCTGCCTGTATTAAAATTATATATTTTTTCCCACATACTTAAAGATGTACAATGGTAGTGCCAATTGAATTTTATGACACTTCCATATCCAGACTGTTAGTGACTAATGTGTGTGCACATGTGTGTTTTGAGACAATCACTTACTATGCAAGTCAGCCTGGACTTCAACTCACTATGAAACCCAGTTGTGCTGAAACTCATGGTGATCATCCTGCCTCAGCCTTCTGATTGTTTAACTCTATTATTGTTGCTGATTTTTTTCTATTGCCCAGGAGGCACAGATGTGACTATGAATTGGCTTTTCACTGTACAGCTCAATCTGGTTAATCTTTGTGTCATCAAATATGTATTTCTGTGGGACTGTTGGGCAGATGGCAGAGTGATGCACAGCAGCATCAAATCAACCTCTCTACGACTTCAAATCCAGACACTGGAAAGTAACAACTTGGGGAACAAAAGATAAGGCAAGAGCTGGGGATTTAGCCCAGGAGCTCGGGACATTGCTGGTGAGAGTGACTGTGGTGCACTTTGGGGAGCTGTGGTCCTTACATCAAGCACCGCTTCCTGACTCCAGAGGGGAAAATGTGTGCCATTTAATCTCCAGGACAAACTCAGACTGGCTTCCTGGCATGCACTCAAATATGCTTATTGTTGGAGGAGTTCAGAACCTCAGTGTCACTGAGAATGGCTGTGGTGCTTCCTAGGATAGCCCTGGTCTTTATTTTGAGCATGACTTCTCGGCTCCAGCAGAGAACCCTCATCTCACCAGTACAGCTCCTTCACTCTGCTGGCATGAACTTTCTAGCTTCCACTGCTCACCTTTGGGCCTTCCCAGCGTGGATCCATAAAACAGACTGACATGAGTCCTTTGCATGGGCTCTAGACCTCCAGATGGACTTGTGAGAGCCTTTGTCATGGGCTCTAGGTTATCATCTGCACTCATGTAGAACATTGCTGTGGGATTCAGGCCCTTGGTTAAATATTCTGGGTCTTTAGTGCTGTGGATAGATTTCCTGCACTTCCTTGTTAACTCTAGGTGACCGTAATAAAATATTATAAATTCCATGTCCTGATTCTAATTGTTCGCCTCACAACCCCTGACCACAACACCTGGCAAGCACCAGGTTGTGAGTTTAATAACTGGCACCACAATAAATAAATAAATAAATAAAGGATGAGGTGAACACCCAGGACCCAGGAAGTATCTTGAGGGAAAACTGGATCCACAGTGCAAGTGAAGTAACAGATTACAATACAGAAAAAGTAGGTAGCTAAGTGCATTTTCTACCCAGCCTCTGCTTCACAACATGAGAGCAGGATCAAATCCACCAAGGTGGTGAGGGTTGAGGGTGGATGACTCCAGAGCCCGCCAAGGAGATACACATCAGGGAAGAGGGATGCATGCTAAAGCAGCTGGCCTTGGAGTGAGCTCAGGCCAACAGCCCACCATGTCCTGAGAGATTGCTAGGCCAGATGCCACTTAGGGAGGGGCCACCTTAACTTGTGATGAGGAGTAGTTACGGGATGACTTCATCTCAGGGCTCCCCATGTCAGAATCCCACAGTGAGTGAGTGAGAACAGAAAACTCATGAAAGAAATACAAGGGAGGAACCACATCTTTGAACAAATGGGCTTAGTAGATACCTACTCAGTGTTCACTCAATCATAGAACACACGTTCCTCTCAACACATGGGACTTTCTCTAAAATAGACCACCTCCTACCTCCCAGAATATGCTTAAAAAAATGCAAGAGAATTTAAATGATCCCTAAAGATCAGAGCAGAAAGCAATACAATTGAGATTAAGAAAATGACAGAAAGAATCAATGCCTTGAAGAGTCGGTTCTTGAAAAATCAAATATAATAGACAAATGTTTAGCTAAGTTAATCAAAAGAAAAAAAAAAAGGAAACAGAAGAGTCAAATTCATACAATTAGGAATGAAAAAGGAAAAATCACAACAGATCCTGCAAAACTTCAAAAGATCATCAATGCCTACATTGAGAATCGTTAATGAGATACAAAATGTCTGGAAAAGACATGGATAGATTCCTAGATACACATTAATTATCCCAGCTGAATCAAGAAAATATACAAATTCTAAATAGCCCAATTTCATCCCATGAAATTTAATACTATTAATAATAATAGTAACAAAAACTACCAACAAAAAAAAATCCAGGTCTTGATGGATTCATTGCTGACTACTATAAGAAATTTAGAGCAGATCTAATGCTACTACTCCACAAGCTTTTTAATGAAACTGAAAGTGAAGCCTTTCCAGAAGCAAAAGTTACCCTGATACCTAAACCAGAAAAGGATCCAAACAAATCTGACAACTACAGGCAAATCTGCTTAATGAACATAGATATAAAAACCCTCAGTAAGATACTGGCAAACAGAATGCATCAATTCATCAACCAGATTATACATTGCATGCAAGTAGAATTCATCCCAGGAAACAGGGATGATGCAATATGCAAGTCACATTAACAGAACCAGAGGCAACAACCACATCACCATCTTGATAGATGCAAAAAACCCATTTGACAAAGCCTAACACCCATCTGTGACAAAAACCTTAAAGAAAACTAAAATACAAAGTCCATTGGTTGAGATATAGCTCAGCAGCACAGCACCCGCCTGGCAAGCATGAGGTCATGAGTTCAATTCCAAGTATATATAAAAAAAAGTAAATCCAAATCTATTGGAAGCCTTCTATGACAAACCAATAGTCCACATCATATGAGATGTTCAAACACTGCAAGCTTTCACTTCAGGAAAAGACAAGGATGCCCATTATCACAACACCTATTCAATATAGTTCTGTAAACATTAGTCAGATCAACTAGACAAGTAAAAGAAACAACAGGAATAAGGTAAGAAAGGAAGTTAAACGTCACTATTCATGGATGACATGATTCTCTACATAGAAGACTCCTAAGCTCCACCAAAAGACTTCTAGATTTAACAAACAAATTCAAAAGTGTATCTGGGTACAAAGTCAAAACTCAAAAATTAATAGCATGCTTGTATACAAATAACACTGATAAGAGGAGAATCGGGGGAAACACCTTGCATGACAGCATCACAACAAGTGAAATGCTTTGTGATGGGTTCTACTTGTGCGAGACTCTGTCAGGCTCAGTAGGATACCTGCCCAACATGGCACTGACCCCTAAAACAACAGCGCCTCTCACCCACACTAACTCCTCTTCAAGTCTTCTGGTCCCAAAACAATACACCATCTGCCTCCCTTTCATGTGCACCACAGGTCCTCCAATCCCCCTCCCCAACATGGTCCCCTCAGGTAGTCTCCACCCCTTTTGCCTAAAAGTCCTGCAGCCCTCTGCCAGCCTGATGACCTATCCACCCACAGTCTCCACCTTTGTCCCTATCCCAGAAGGGCAACTCCTCAGCTTTGTTTCCTCTGAGGTTCCTTGCAAACTCCA